CCGGCCCTGATCTATCACTCTGGCCTCATCTACTCCAACCCCACTTCCCTCCCCTGATCCAACACGTCACATTTTGGCTCTAGATGTGCTTAAACATTTAGAGATCCCTGAACATGCGATGCTCACTCACCTCTGAGCGTCAGCCCTTGTTATTCTGTCCGGTTGGACTTGCCATACATACCTCCACTTCCAAATCACCACACCCCTCCTCCCCGGTGCTCCCGGTCCACCTGGCCCTTCAGGCCTGAGCACAGAAGATCGCCTCTGGGAGCCTGGGGGTCAGAGCTGCTACACCTCTGCACACACATCTGTCACAGCACTTACCACATTGCAGAGCAATTGTCTGTTTCTTTCTGACACTTGTCAATCAACTGTGAATTGTTGAAGTCAAGAGCCACCTCTGTCACTTTTAGATCCTTAAGGTTTACATACACCGGGCACATTTAGTACATGTTTATGGAATAAATAAGTAGGCTAGGGTATGCATTAAGGTCTGATTCTAAGCTCATGCCCTTCCCACGTGGCGCATATGTTATTATTTGGGAATGCCTTCATTCATTTAGCAAATATTTAATGGAATCTACTTTGTGACAGGCCTGTTCTAGCAGTGCAGGTTCCATGGGGTCGCCTGGATACATTCTTGTTTCCCTTTGTGGTCGCTGTCTTTTAGAGCGGATCGTGATCCTTTGCTATCCTGATTCTCTGACAGGATACTTAGTCTTCTAGTCTGATTCCCGACTCCATTCTGACTTCCGAACCAGCGCTGTCTTTGGTTCCTACCTGTCATGTTTGCATTTGACATGCCACTGACCTCGCTCCGGTGTCCATGGAGCCAAATCTCCAGTCTCACTCAGCCTGCTTTTTCCCGTGCACCCCACCCCCCATCCCGGGTTCTGGCTCAGACACTTCCCTTCTCTTCCGTTACTTTCCCTACACTCACCCAGAGTCTTACACGTTGCACAACAGCTACATCTCCATCCTGTTCTCCCGGCTCCTAATCTTTCCCTTGCCAAATTAGTCCTGTTTCCTCCGCAAGAATAGTCTAAACACGCTGTATGTGCGAGGGTCAGGTTTACATTCCTCGTTCTGATGTTCAAGGCCCTCACACGTCTCCTGCAGCTTCCCTGTCACCAACCACAATCTTATTTCAACATTTTTCTCTTGTTAACACCCAAAAGACAGACAGATAACATCTTTTTTTTCCTTCTTCCCATTTCCTTCCATCATTTGCCTAAATTTTATTATTCCCTTGAGGCCCAACCCAAATCCCATTTTCCCCAGGAAGCTGTTGGCTCTTTTTGCCCAGGACCATGTCTTTCTTCTTTGATCTATTACCATTTACTATTTTACAACTCACACTTTGTAGCACACTTAGGTAATGTAATCATCTATGGCTGGTGAGCCAGATCTGGCCTGCTGCCTCTTTTTGCAGAGCCTATGAGCTAAAATGGTTTTTACATTAAAGTTTAAAAGGAAGAAAAAGAATATTTTACGACACATAAAAATTATATGAAATTCACACTTCAGTGTCCACAAATAAAGTTTTATTAGAACGGAGCCCCACTTATTGGCTTATCGTTTAGGACTGTTTTCAAGCTGTAGTGGCTGGCTTGAATTATTTCAACAGAGACCATCAGGCCTGCAAAGCCTAACGTATTTACTATTTGGCTGTTACAGAGAAAGCTTGCAGACCTCTGGCCTGGGATCTTAGATTCTCTTTATAATCTTTGCATAGTTGTTTAAGAAATTTGGAGAGGTCTGCTTCATTAAGGACAATCTTTTCAATGCTAGTTAGGCATTTATTAGAAAGGTGGGGGAAACCAAGAAGAGTAGGCTGCATGGAGTGAGTAGGAGCTAGCCTAGTTAGAAACTGGTTGACTTAGGCAACTGCATCCCATTGGTAAGTGAGAATCAGAGGATCTCAGGTGGTTGGGGGAAAAGACCTGATCTTATCCCCCTCTTCTCTGTTTCTGATTTGGCAGAGAAAGTGTAAAAGCAGATTGGGTGATGCATAGAAGTGTTGAATCACTATATCGTACACCTGAAAGTAATATAACACTCTGTTAACTATATTGGAATTAAAAAAAAATTAAATTCATGGGGCGCCTGGGTAGCTCATTTGGTTGAGCATCTGACTCTCGGTTTTGGCTCATGCCATGATCTTGGGGTCCAGAGATCCAGCCCCGCCCCGCATGGGGTTCGGTGCTCAGCGTGGAGTCTCCCTGAAATTCTTTCTCTCCCTCTCCCTCTGCCCCTCCCCCTGCTCACACATGCTCTCTCTCTCTCAAATAAATAAGTAAAATCTTGAAAAAAAATGTTTAAGTACTAAGGAAAAAGAAAGAAAATGTAAAAGCACAGAGGAACTAGCTAGAGAAAGGGTGTTTGAGGTCTTATCTGAATCTGGTTATTGAAAAGAGATCAGTGGTTCTTGGCTGAGAGTAGCTCAGCTATTAATGACTCAGTTATTACAGGCCATGAAGGAAATTATCAAGAGGGTGTCGTAGCTGAAGCTGAGAGAGTTTAGTTTTGACTCACCGAAGCTTTATGTAGGCTAAGAGGTTTTACAATGCCTAGAAGAATCACAGGCAAGAGAGTTTGAAGGATTTCCTGAAAGTAGAACTGAAGCCTAGATATTTAGATAAACAGGAATGGCAGTTGAAGTTATCAGGGAGTTCATGACTTTTCCCTAGGTGTTCTGCTTCTCTTCATCTTGCTCAAATCATATTTTTTTCCTTGAAACTTATATGACATAATTGTTTAGTAAAATTCCATCTTCTCGAAAAATAATCTCTACAGATTGGACTGTGGGCTTCATCTTTCACATCCATTCCCTACACCGCGCTTGGCTAGTAGAGTCTGGTTCTCAAACACGGGCCACCAGGTGGGTCGCTCCTTGAATTGCAGGAAGATGCAAGCTAGACTCGCGGAGGCAGGACTTGCAGGCTGAAACCCATTTTAAAGGTAACAATGGGTGCAAAGTCATAAGTAAGTTGTTGCAATAATAAATGTATCTCCTTTTTTTATAGTTTACCATCGTGCCTGGCACAGCGGAGGGCATATTGTCACCGTGAGACTGAATGAATAAGCAGTTGTTTTTTGTTTGTTTTTTAAAAATAAGTTGTGGGGCGTTTGTAGCTTGAACACTGGCAGGGCGGGCCGGAAGCTTAGTGTTGTGACCTGTTTTTAAAAATAAAGTATCTTGGGGCGCCTGGGTGGCTCAGTTGGTTAAGCGACTGCCTTCGCTCAGGTCATGATCCTGGAGTCCCGGGATCGAGTCCCGCATCGGGCTCCCTGCTCAGCGGGGAGTCTGCTGCTCCCTCTGACCCTCTTCCCTCTCATGCTCTCTATCTCTCATTCTCTCTCTCTCAAATAAATAAATAAAATCTTTAAAAAAAATAAATAAAGTATCTTGAAATAAAAAAAATAAGTTGTGGGATTTTTCTTTTTTTTTTTTTTTTTAAGATTTTCTCTATTTGAGAGAGAGAAACAGTGACAGAGATAGAGAGAACACAAGCGGGGAGGAGAGGGAGAAGCAGGCTCCTGCTGATGCAGGGCTCTATCCCAGGACCCTGGGACCATGACCCTAGCCGAGGGCAGACCCTTAATGACCGAGCCACCCAGGCGCCCCTGAATAAGCAGTTGTAAATTAACTTTGGTGGAGAGCCCATTACCTATTCAAGTGGATGCTAAGGGACCATCTTTTTTTTTTTTTTTGAGAGGATTTTTTTTTTTCATTTTGTGGGAGGTAAGACTGATGAATCGTAAAATGTCTTTCTACTCCTGAAATCTGTAATATTCCCAATCAAACAGGCACTTCACAATTTCCCTGTTCTTGGCCACGGAATACGCCACTTGCTTTTGTCTGTCTCCTCTTCCCTCTTTCTTCCTCTCTTCCTACCTTGTCTGAATCAGACTGCCATCCTACGACTAAACCCTGATCTGCAACATCTCTCGGCTTTACCCCTTCCATTCACGGGTTCCTGCTTCTTAGGTACCCTCCTGATTTCCTTCCAGCTCTTCTTTCTTCGCTCCCACAAATTCGCACACTCCTTTCCCTCTCTCTCCTTCCTCCTTCGTGTACTACTCCTTCCTCTCCTCCTCTGCCCGCGCTCCTTCATTTTCCGTGCTCTCATCCCCCGACGGTCAGCCCCTCCTTCCCGCTCTCTGGCTGTCTTACCCTAGTTTGGAAATGCTGCAGAAATCTGGGCCTGCCACCATTGGATGCGAGGGGCCGTCACTCTGCGGCAGGAGGAGCTCCTATTGGTCGGGCTGGAGGCGGGTACGGAGCTGACTATAAAAAGTGGGCCCGGAGGCGGCGCGCGGAGCGGCTCCGACTGGACCGGGTCGGAAGGGGTCACCTGGCGGGAACCTGGTCCCCGAGAGCCGGGGTGCGGGTTCCGGAGCAGCGGCTCCCCGCACTAGATTCGGCTCTGCTCGTCAGCCGGGGCGCGCCCCTCGGAGCCCGGCCACTCGCGGCCGTCGCCCGCGCAGCCCCGAGGGCCCCTCGCCGCCCCTGCACGTGCCGCGCCCCGCGCGCCCGGTCCGGCCGCCGCGATGAGCGAGGTGAGCGGCGCTGTCGGGCCCCCCCACCCCCGCCCCCCGCTCCGGGCGAGCCTGCGGCGGGGAAGCCGGGTCCCGGGGAGCCAGGGAGGGCGCGGCAGCCGGGAGCCGCGGAGACCTCCGGGGGCGCCCCACTGCCCCTCCGGGGAAGCTCCCTCCTCGGGCGCTAGGAAGCGACTGGAAGACGGAGGCTTCAAGCCCCGCACTGTGCAGGGAGCTTTTTTTTTTTTTTTTTTTTTTGGTGGGGGGTGGGGACTGGAATCGGGTGTCAAGTGGGACTGCGGGCTCAGGCGATAAGTCATCTTCTCGGGATACCACCCTCTGCATTTGTCTTGCCGCTCCGAGGTCACTCGGGTTTCCCTTCAGTCCCCGGACTTGGGAGAGAAACGCTCGCCTGTACGGTCCTTCTCCGAGGGCTGTGTTGCTCTTGCACTGCTTAGGTAGCCTTCAGCAAGAACTCCAGCCTAGCCCCCTAGGGTGGCCACATTTCCCCTTTTAGGAAGGGGGCATCCCACCCTCCACTCATTCAGAACGGAACCAACCATTGGAGGGACCATGTCTGATATTCCGGAGCCCCTGTAGCGGGGGCATGTCCACTCCTGGAGAGCTGTCCCCTTCAAGAGAGACCTCCCTCTGCAGTGCTTGTTACATCCTAGGTCTTCTTGTCGGGATCCACCGTGTTCATCTGAGCCAGAGCCAGTCCATTAACTGGGATTTTTCTCTTTTCCCCGAACACCATCCATAGGTAGGGGTCAAAGCAGAGACTTGGAAAGACCTCTTCCATTGTTTGAATGCATTCCGTAGGATCCAGAATCAAGGATCTTCCTTCCCAAGTGAAGTCGGTATGGACAGTAGCATCACAAGCCTGCTCCACGCAACCCCGTTCCCAGTGCCCAGGATCTGGTGATAAATCCAACCTCTCGGCTATATGCCAGGTCCCAGCCCTACTACTTACTAGCTATGTGGCCTTAGGTGGGTTCCTAAACCTTTCTCTGCTTCAGTGTTTAATCTACAAAATTGGGGTAATACGGATTGTTCTGATTCAATGAGATAATATATGAAAAGTACTTAGGACATGGCACAGAGGAGGCACTCAATCTACTTTAGCTAGTATCATTCTGTCCCTGTTCCTTCTTTTCTGTTTTGGAATATTACAGAAAATGAGCACAAGACTTCTCAAGAATACCAGGCCAGTGGGGGGACAGGACCCTGGAGCTGGGTCTCAGTTTAGATCTTTATCTTTAGTAGGAGCTCTGCTGACCTCCCACCAAAAATTGTCATCCAGGGAGCCAATTAGTGCTGACTGCTATGTTGTCTTGGTTGCCATGTCCACTAAGTTTATCCTGGAAAATTCGGCTAGTCTGGGGGCTGCAGATGAACTAAAGTGGTTTCTAGTCCCTCAGCTGGTTGTGACTGCGACCATGGCAGCCTTTCAGAAAGAGAAGGAAAAATATGTATGTATTGTTCAGTCTTCTTTCCTCTTGCTTCTAACATGAGCAGCCGTGACATGAGAAGAGAGGTGTTCTTTGCCCTCTTTTTCACTGAAGGCCGGAGTTCAAGGCCCCCTCTAGAGTTTCTAAATCTGCAAGTTGCAATTCAAGCCATCCCCTGGGAGTCTGTGATCCGAAGGCTGTGCCAACATGAAGATGTGTGGTTGGTCTGAGCTTTTGGGGACAAGTGCACAGACTCTGTAGGACATGCCACAGGGGCTGGCATTTACGGTGGTATTTGGTGGAGTTCAAAGCTGTTTCAGCAACAGGGAAAACAGTTGCGTGTTTGAGGGGAAAGTCAAGTCTTGACTTAGTTGCTGAACTTGGCTAGCCTCACTCAGGAGCTCAGCAGAATGATGACAATAGGATCCTTGGATGGGGACTAGCTGTCAGTGTGTGTGCAGGGCTGCCCAGCCTCCCAGGCTGTCAAGAGCGAGTTGGTTCTAACTAGCAATTTAGCTGTCAAAGCTGCCTTCTAATATGGAGCTGAGCCTGGCTTCAGGAATGAGTATTTATAAAATCCAGAAGCAGCCACCTGGGTATACACAGAGACTAGCTCCTTCTGAGCCAGATCCCCAGAGGGGCTCTGCTTCCCTAGAGGCTAAGACCAGGCCTGTTTTCTTCCTCTTGAAAGAGCTCTGATAAAAAGCGGAAGGATTGCTCAGGGCTCTGGAGCTCTAGGGAGACCCCTGACCGCTTCATTTCTCTCGGCGCATCCCCACGGGGCTCCTTGCTCAGGCAGAAGTGCCCAGCCCAGGAAAGTCCTGTGCACCCTGAATCTTATATAAGCTTCACCTCCCCCACCTGCTTATTTGCTTGCTTCAGAGAAACTGCATGAAATGAGAGGAGTTGGGATCTCATGAAGAGATTCCCATTCCAACTGAAGAATAAAAACTGGAGAGCAGTCTTCAGACCTGGTGCGACCGGAGAGTAAGGGTGCTGGTGGGGCCGCTGGGGAGGATCTCCAGCTCTACGTTGCCTTCGTGGCTGTTTGCTGTCCCTCAGTACTGCAGCAGAGCATCTCTTGTCCATGTGTGTGTGTATTCGTGCACAGAGGAGCTGCAGGGACTCATCCCCATCTTGTCATATTCACAGCTGCAGGCCCGAGTTGATTGCTGTGAATCACAGTCTGTCTCTGAGAGTTTTCGTAACTTTTCGCTAGTTTCAGTGAGGGATGGGAATGGGAGATGCATTCATCCCCTGGGGGCTCTTGCCTGTAATCCTTTGTCATATGGTGGAGCTGGCTGCTTCAAAGTACACTTGTTAAGTTCTCCTGTGATCCTTCCTGTTGCATTTCTCAACTGGGAGGAGCCCAGCTGGGGCAATCCCTTGGTCTGGCAGTCATTCTGTTGCAATGAGGGTCATGGATGACTGGGAACGGTCCTCATGGTGTCCGTCTTGTGTTTGGGCCGGCAGGGGCTGGAGCAAGGAATGGATCAATGAGAAATCTCACTGGGAGAGAGCTTAGAACTGATACCCCCTCCTTTATTATTCTGCTTGCTGTCCTCTTTGGTAATAGGAATGGGATATCACGTTTGGGGGATCACATTCTCTTTCCTGTGCGTATCTGTCAGAATCCCCACGACAGAAGTGTGGTCAGGTTGCTATCACTCCGTTGTCTTCACTGAGCCAGTTTTTAGGGAACCTGGTAGGGACTTGGAGGAAATCCAAGTGTCTCTCTCTTTGGTATTTTATTATGATTATGGTTCTGTTGGACAAATAAAATAAAAGGGCTAGCTACTTAATGTTGGGATGCCTGCCACCTCTGGAAATAATCTGTCTTCCACAGTAAGGGAAACCGGAACTTGGTTCTAGAACTTGCTCATCCCTTTCTTAGTCACCGATCCAGGTTGTTGTCTCTGGCTGCTCGAGCAGGAGCCTCTCACTGGGAAAAGTGGATGACAGTTGTCTTCTAACTCTTTCTCCTAAGCTGCAGCTGGGATCTGTTACCTCTCAGAAGGGCAAGTCTCTATAGGGGCAGGCCCCCATCAATAATGTGGCTGGAGTCCAGATACACAAACCTGATGCCTTTTTCATGTCTGTCTACGGAGGGTCTTAACCGATGAACTGGATGGAGATAAGGTTGAAGGGGGAGAGGGAGGAAGAAGGATCAGGTTAGTAATTGTCTTTTCAAGGTAGTGTTCTATGAATGCCTTTCCCCGTTTTCTGTTTTTCTGTAGTTCCAAATTGTCTTTCATGAGTCTGTTTTATCATGGAAAAAAAATGAACTTGGTTTGCAAAAGTTCTTTCAGATAGAAATATAGGTATATCTTTCATCAAGAGACTCTCAAATAATATATCCAGATATTTTAGTGACATAATTTTAGATTTGTTAAGAAGCCCTAAAGCTCATCTGACCCCATCTTCTGATCTTATACATGAGGAAACTGAAGGCCCAAACCTCATGTAAGTTTACACAATGCTAGAACCAAGACGAGGGCACAGACTTCTCACGGCAAAAAATTCCTTTTTTTTTTTTTTTTTAAAGATTTTATTTATTTATTTGAGAGAGAGAGAATGAGAGATAGAGAGCACGAGAGGGAAGAGGGTCAGAGGGAGAAGCAGACTCCCCGCTGAGCAGGGAGGGAGCCCGATGCGGGACTCGATCCCGGGACTCCAGGATCATGACCTGAGCCGAAGGCAGTCGCTTAACCAACTGAGCCACCCAGGCGCCCCCTGGCAAAAGAATTCTTAAGAGTCCTTTAATGTGTTACTCCGGTGAGTACAAATTGCTTTAATTTATATGCAACTGTTAAGGAATAGATCGCTAAGTACTTTTTACAGGAAATCTGAGCAGTGTGATTTAATAAATGCTGAACCAGAGGGGGGAGAGAGAGAGGAGAGACCAGCATGAGATAAGAGTTATCAGCAGTGGACATTTGGGTAGAATACTGGGCAGAACGAGTACTATCCTTCCTGATGCAGGATGATGTCTGGTCATCCTGGAAGTGGGTGCTGAAGTGACGTGGGAAGCCTGGAGGCCCCCTTTTGTGGTTCTTAGTTCCTGGTGTCCATCATTGATCCCCATAACTGCAGAGCATCAAGGACCAGAAGGAGCGGTTTTCTTTCTGAAAAGGAAGAAATGAGAGCAATGCTCTTAACTCTATAAAGTACTTGACTTGGAGGACCCAGTGCTGGAAGTAGAGTTGGTGTCCCTGCTAACCAAACAGGCGCTGAACACTGAGCCCTTCGTTGGGCTCCTTGACTTCCAAGAAGAGTACAAAGGCTTTGGGAGGAAAACTCTGAGAAGGGGGGGAACAGGAGGATGTATTCGATCTGCTAAGTAAGTGATGGGAGCCTACTGGGATCCCAGGATCCTAAGTGCATGGTGTTCTACATCCATACCCCGGACCGGCTGCCCAAAATGCCTTGACTTGCCCCAGAATTATTTTACCTGCAAGAGTAAGCCAAGTGAGAAGCAGATCGGAAACCACTTTTTCTAAGAGATCTGCATCCCTGCAGGTGCCTGTAAACCAGTGCCTCAAAACCTGGCCCTTGTCCTGGTTCTCCTCCCCGAGGTCTAATGATTGCCTCATTCCAGGCTGACTCCTGAAGGCCTGCCCACCTGGGTTTCCCAGCTCCCCCCCCACGCCCCAGGGAAAAGAGGTGCTATTTACCACTCTGTTGTCCTTGGTGCTGCCTCCCTCCCACACAAAGCCCTCCAGCTGAGTGTTTGCTTTGTCGGCTGTGGGGGGATTCATACGTTTATTTTGGGACATTAACGCCATGGGTGGGCTGCACATTGAAGATTATAGTAATAAATGATGCTTTGGCACTACTCGCTCTCCCCCACCCGCTGCCCTCAGTACGGGGTAGAAGGCACAGCTCCAAGCTGTGTGCAGAGCACCACAAATAACCACTCATTAAACCGTGGCAGCCCATGCTGGGGGGGAGGGCCGGGGCTGTTGACTCACTGCATACCGTGAGCTGGCATGGCCAAGGAACTCTGCCTTGGACTCCGGTGGGGGGTTACTGCTATTCCAGGCAACAGGGCTGGGGTGGCTGAGAGGACAGGGGGCTTGGGAGCTCGGACTCTGCTTGGGTTCTATTCCTGTCTTGGGAGGCATCTGAGTTATAAGGTCTTTAGGTTGTAGTCCTTATTTGAGGAGAAGAATGTGTGTATAGAGAGCCTGAAGGAAGAATTCCTGGTTCTCCTTCTGTTAGTATGTGGAGGGTGACCTTGAACAAGTCTTTCTGACGCTGTTTGAGGACTGCGGCTGGTTGCCGCACTGGAGGAATTGGAAAGGCTCCAGCTGCGCTCCAAACAGCCGGCTGGGGTCTCTCCCAGGCAGCCAGGCGGCTCCCGGGGCCCCTCGGAAGCCCTGCAGCAGCGACCTTCCTCTAGGATCGGGGGAGGGTACGTCAGCAGGGGGACAAGGGTCCCTGGGGACCCTCTTTGTCACCACTAGGAAGCAGGTGCACTCACTCCGGTCCGCCTTCACTTTCTGCACCTCTAAAGCAAGCCGGGAGCTGACAGAGCCTAGGATTTCTGACAATACACCAGCGAGGAAGGGGTCTTTTGGGGCTCCTATTTAGGACTTTTAGGATTCAGGCCCTTTGGAGGTTTCCTGCTCTGGACCGCAGCACAGGCTTCTGAGTACCTGTGCCCATTCACGTGAGCCAAGTGACTCCGGCGGAACTCTGTATATGATGTGTTTTCATTTGCAAAGCACCCAAGCCGGATCGTGCAAATGCGAGTGTGCGGAGGTGCTCCTTTGTTCCTTCTGTTGCTGCCGCTAACAGCATGTGATGCTGCTTTTCAGAGCCCCCGGGGCAAGAGGGGTACAGGGAATCTGCGCAGTTTCCCTTCCCCAGGTTAGGTCTCACTTGCTGCTTGGAGCAGGGGGGGGTGACACCCTCTTGCCTCTTCTGGTGACACGGGTTGCTGTGGCAACAGCATCACTGAGGAAAAAGACAAAGAAAGGAAGAAACACAGCCCAGGCAGGAGGCAGGGGGAGCCAGGCCCAGCGGGAGAAGTTCTCTTCCCCAGTTACCACTGCCTGTCTGCTCTCAGGCTCTTTGCCGAGACAACACCAAGCAACCATCCCTCTGAGATAGCGGGTAGACTTGCACAACCATCTTTATGATTAAAACAAAAACGTGTGTGTCGTGTCTTAGGGTTCTTTGAAATGAAATATGAACCTTTACGGGGGTTCAGGACACCCCCTCCTGTGCGCCTGGGAGGGGCTCCAGGAGGCACCAGGCTCCAGACGTGGGCAGTGGCTGGACAGAAGGCGGTTTCTGCCCAGCAGACCATTGCTGGGCCCTTTACCAGAGGCTTAGAGCCCTCGTCAGCATTTCTGGGGACAAACGTAGGGAAGATGGAGACTTTGATTTCCAGCGTCGGTTCACGGTAAAAAGAGATCGGTTATGAAGCTCCCACGGTGGCAGAATAAGCCTCAAAGGCCCTTAGAGCAATCCTGGGCATCGTCTTCCTCCTTCAGTTTTACTTAGTGAAGACTGACTCGGTGGCCACTTTAGGCTTTGATCCCAGGACCTTAACCACACATTACCCCAGGGACTGGACCTGGTCTTTTTTTTTTTTTTTTTTAAGATTAATTTATTTATTTTGGAGGGGAGGGAGATGGAGAGAGAGTCTCAAGCAGACTCTGTGCTGAGCACGGAGCCTGACACAGGGTCACTTTCACGGCTCTGAGATCACGACCTGAGCTGAAACCAAGAGTCGAAGCCTAAACCAACTGCACCACCCAGGTGCCCCATCCCCCTTGACCTATTCTTATATATAACCCAGAGTGACATTACTTCAAAACAATAACTATTTCATATATGCTAGGCATTTTACATATATTATCTCCAGTTCTTTTCACCCTTCGAAATAGTATATTAACCTTTTCTGCAGATGAGGGATTTGAGCACAGCAAGGCCAAGTGGTTTACCCAATGTCACACAGCTGGGAATGGCAGAGCCGGGATTTGAAGAGAATCGTGCAGATCCAGGATATGAAACCAGATCTGTATGGCTCAACCTCATATGCCACAGTGCTCCTCCCAGGAATTTGAGGCTTGCGACATTTTCATTCACATAAATATGGAGTACCTACTCTATGCAAGACATAGGTTGTTGTTACCATGATATACAAATAAATGGTAACTGTGGACTTTGCTTTGAAGGGCATGGCAATGTGGTGGGTGAGGAGGGTGCCGAAAGAAAGGCAAATACACAGTAGCTCTTATACAGGTAGTAGGAGATACACTTCTAGAGAAGTTCTCTTTCACCCTCAGCTCCTTTTCAGGCCCGTAGGCTGAGCTGAGGAAAAGCAGTGACCTGGCTTCTGGTATCTTCACCATCTCTGAACCGGTGATGCTGCGGCCCTCAGCAATCTGGAAACAACGTTGATTTCAGAAACCTAGATGCGGTGGCAAAAAGAGCCGAGTGGGGGCGCCTTTCATTCATTCCACAAATATGGAGTGCATATCATGTGTAAGGCCTTGTGCTAGACCCTGGGGGTAAAGCAGTGAAGAAGACACATAGAGCCCCTACCCGCATTAGGAACTTGCACAGAAATGGAAGAGAATACATTCAGTATCTATCCACGGAATTAATTTAGTTAAGCGAGTAATAAGTGCTACCAAGAAGAAATCTAGGTGCTATTAAAACATAATGAAGGCCCTAGATGGGACGCCTGGGTGGCTCAGTCAGTTAAGCGTCTGCCTTCGGCTCAGGTCATGATCCCAGGGTCCTGGGATCGAGGCCCGCATGGGGCTCCCTGCTGAGGGGGGAGCCTGCTGCTTCCCCTGCTTGTACACTCTCTCTCTCTCTCTGACAAATAAATTAAAATCTTAAAAAAGAAATGAAGGCCCTTGCTGAATCTGGGGAGCTGAGAAGAGCTTCCTGGGAGGAGCCCTTGAGGGGAGCTCTGAAAAATAAACAGGAATTAACCAAATAAATAACTAAAAAAAAAAAGAGAACCATGTCCCAAGGTCCTGAGATGGGAAGGGACAAAGTATGTTCCAGAGACAAGGTTACTGAAGTAATCAGAGGCTGCAAACGTAGGGCCCTTGTGACCACATTAAGGATTTTCTTTATCCTAAGGGCATCGGTAACCACTTGGGCTACTGCAGTGGTCCACGTAGGAAACAGCTGTGTGAGGGCCGTCGCAGTGGGGAGAAGTGAATGGAGTAAGAGATAGTTAGGAGATAAAGTTAACAGGAGTTAACACCGAACCGGATATGCAATGTGACGGGAAGAAGGTGTCAAGGATGCTTTCCAGGTTTCTGGCTTGTACAAGTAGATGAGATAGAGAATATTTGCAGAAGATTCGGTTGGGTCAGTAGAATTATGAATCCAGTTTGAGACACATAGAGTTTGAGGGGTTTTTTTTTAAGATTTTTTTTAAAGATTTTATTTATTTGAGGGAGAGAGAAAGAGCATGTGGGGGGGGGCGCAGCGAGAGAGGGACAAGCAGACTCGATGTGGGGCCCAATCCCACAACCCTGAGATCAAGACCTGAGCCGAAATCAAGAGTCGGTTGCTTAACCGACAGAGCCACCCAGGTGCCCCTAAAGTTTGAGGTTTCTGTAAAGCCTCCGGTGCAGGTGTTTTAAAACACGAAGGAGAGGTCTGGGATAGAGATGTGCATTTGAGCCCTCAGTGGCATGGTGTGCTGCTCGGTATAGTAGCCGCTAGCCACATGTAGCTATTCTCCTTACTAATTATTTAATGAACAATGATTGACTTATTGATTAAAATTAAATAAAATTATCAATTTTATTCCCCGGTTGCACTAGCCACATTACAACGTATTCAACAGCCACACGCACCTCGTGGATGCCATACATCAGACAGCTCAGGTAGAAAACATTTCGATCATTGCAGAAAGTTCTATTGCAAACTTTTTCTGTCATGGGCCAGATAATAAACATTTTTCGCTTCGTGGACCATATGGCTCCTGTTGCAACTATTCAGCTCTGCTGATGTGGTGCCAAAGATAAGACGTAAACAGTGGGTATGGCTGCAAAACTCTATCTCGCCTGCAAAAACAGGCTAGAGGCCAGATTTGGCGGGGGGCTGTGGTTTGTCAACCCCCATGCTACTGGATGGAGCCGGTATAAATGATAACAAGTCACAGGGACAGATAGGATCATCTAGGAAGAGAGAACAGAAGGGAGCCTAGCTCTAAACCTGTAGAGTCTCCACTACTTAAACATTGGGAAGAAGTGCCCAGAAAGATAGGAGAAAATCAGGGAAAACCATGATGCCTCAGGAACCAGGGAAAGAAGATGGGAGAAGGAAGGTGACATGACTGAGCCTCAAATGCCTCGAGGTCAAGCCAAACGGAGCTTGCCCCTTTGCATTTGACTTGGTATCAGAGAGAGCATTGGAGTCGTTTCTGGGAGCAGGAGCAGGGAGAAGTGAGGCTGAAGTGGGGTGGGGAGTGTGGGAGCTGAGGAAGTGGGAGAGAGTAAGTGTTCGGAGGGCTCAGCAATGAAGAGGAGGGAGCCGGGAGAGGCCTGCCCCCCCCATACACCTTTCTCCCCTGCCTTTCTGAGTGCTCCTTCTCAGTCTTGGCCAGCCTATTGACCTCTCCTTAGCTGTTTTCCAACCTTAAAACATTAAGGTATAATTTCTATGCAGTAAAATGTGCCCTTATCAGTGTATAGTTCTGTGAATCTTTTTTTTTTTAGATTTATGTATTTAAAAAAGATTTATATTATTTTTGAGAGAGGGAGAGACAGAGACAGGGTGTGCAGGGTGGAGGTACAGACAGAGAGGGAGACCGAGAATCCCAAGCAGACTCCCCACTGAGCACAGAGCCGACGTGGTTCTCGGTCTCATGACCCTAAGATCATGACCAGAGCCGAAATCAAGAGTCGGACGCTTAACCGACTCAGCCACCCAGGCGCCCCAGGTCTGCAAAGTTGACAAACATGTAGTCATGAAACCACCACCACAATCAAGATACAGAGCAGTTTCATCATCCCCAAATTCCCCACTTCCCCTTTGTAGTCACCCCTCCTGTGACCTCAGCTTTTATCAGGCACCGAACTGATCTTTCTGCTTTCACTATAGTTTTGCCTTTACAAGAATGTTGTATAATTGGGTCTTGCTTCTTTCACTTAGCCTCATGCTACTTTTTTTTTTTTTTTTTTAAGTAAACTCTTCGCCCAACGTGGGGCTTGAACTCACGACCCAGAGATCAGGAGTCACATGCTCTGCCGACTGAGCCAGCCCGGCGCCCCTAGCATAACGCATTTGCGGTTCATCCACATGGTTGTATGTATCAGTAGTTTATTCCTTCTTTTATTTTATTTATTTATTTTTAAAGATTTTATTTATTTATTTGACAGAGAGAGACAGCGAGAGAGGGAACACAAGCAGGGGGGAGCGGCAGAGGGAGAAGCAGGCTTCCCGCGGAGCAGGGAGCCCGACACGGGGCTCAATCCCAGGACCCGGGGACCATGACCCGAGCCGAAGGCAGACGCCCAACCGACTGAGCCACCCGGGCGCCCCTTATTCCTTTCTTTTAATTGCTGAGTAGTATCATACAGTATGGATGGAACACACTTTGTTTATCTGTTCCTCGGTTGAGGGACGTTTGGTTTGTTTCCAGTTTCTGGTGATTATAAGTGAAGCTGTTAGAAACATTCACTTACAGGTTTCTGTGTAGAGGTTTTAATTTCACTTGAGTAAATTCACTTGAGTAAAAAAAAAAAACCCTACTCACCTAAGAGTAGGGTTGCTGGTGTTAGCAGTAAAGGTGTGCTTAACCTGCCAAGGCAGCCGCACCATGTTGCATTCCCAGCAACAATGTATGAGAGCTCCAGACACTCCATATCTTTGCCAGCACATGGCATTATCATTTTAAAAGAACCATCCTAATAGGTATGTAATGGTATCTCAGTGCGGTTTTAACTTGAATTTCCCAAATGACCAATGATGCTATCTTTTCTTGTGCTCGTTTGTCATCCATGTATCTTCTTTGGTGACACGTCCAAATATCCTGCCCACTTTTGCAAATTGCATTCATGTTACCAGGATTTGAAAACTCTTTATATACCCAGGATACAAGTCCTTTGTCAGATATATGATTTGCAGATATTTTGTTCCAGTCTGTAGCTTGTCTCTTCATCCTCTTGGGAATGTCTTTCAAAGAGCAGTTCTTGTTAAAAATAGAGCCACCCTATGATCCAGCAATTGCACTACTAGGTATTTGCCCAGAGGATACAAAAATACAGATTCAGAGGGGTACGTGCACCCCGATGTTTATAGCAGCAATGTCCACAATAGCCAAACTGTGGAAAGAGCCAAGATGTCCATCGACTGATGGATGGATAAAGAAGATGTGGTGCATATATATATGCTTTGCTACTTCTTAGCCGTATGACTCTCTCTCTCTCTCTCTCTCTCTCTCTATATATATATATATATATATATATATAATGGAATATTGCCCATCAAAAAGAATGAAATCCTGCCATTTGCAATGACGTGGCTAGAACTAGAGGGTATTATGCTAAGTGAAATAAGACAGTCAGAGAAAGAAAAATACCATATGATTTCACTCATATGTGGAATTTAAGAAACAAAACAGATGAACATGTGGGAAGGGGGGAAAAGAGAGAGAAGGAAGCAAACATAAGAGACTCTTAATGATACAGAACAAACTGAGGATTGATGGAGGGAAGTGGGTGGGGAATGAGCTAGATGGGCGATGGGTATTAAGGAGGGCACTTATGATGAGCCCTGGGTATGTATGTAAGTGATGAATCACTAAATTCTATTCCTGAGACCAATATTACACTATATGTTAACCAACCAGAATTTAAATAAAAATTTGAAAAAAACAACAAAACAAAACAAAGAGCAGTTCTTAGTTTTGTCAAGGTCTAATTTATAATTTTTTTCTTTTATGAATTCTACCTTTGGTATGTCTAAGAAATCTTTGCCTACCCCAAGGTTGCAAAGATTTTTTTTTTCTATATTTTCTTCTAGAAGTTTTATAGTTTTAGGTTTTGTATGCATTTGGAGTTAATTTTTGTATGAAGTGCAAGGTTTAGATTCAGTTTTTTTGGTTGTTGGGGTTTTTTTTTTTGCATATGGCTATTCATATTTTTTGAAAAGATCCCCCTGACCTTTAAATATTGGGGTTCCTCAATGCATGGTCCTAGGCCTGCTTCTTTTCCCTCTAATGGTAGTTGAAGAAGGAATTCAGATTGAGGAAGCCTTCTTTTCCTTTTTTAAAAAGAGGGAGAGGTTTTATATATGAGAGTGAGGGGAATTGATTGTAAGGACTCCTGAGAAGGAGGAAGGAGAATGGGATCTTAAGCTCAGATGGAAGGACAGGAATTCATCCGAATGCTGATGAATGCCCTGGGAGGAGGTGTCATCCAGGGAAAGGGAGGCCGTGGCCATGTCAGATCCCTCTCTGCACTCTCCAAGCCTTTCTTTAGGCTAACAGGCCTTGCCTCCCCTTTGCCTCCTTCCCCCATGGGGAGGGAGAGTCCACAACTTTGAACTGCAGAGGAAACAAGGGTATATTCACGGGGACCCGGCAGCCACCGCCAGGATGACGGAATGGAACATTGTCAGGCCCAGAGGTGAGGAGAGAAGGAATACGGGAAGGTAGGCAAGGGGAAAAAGTAGGGCCCTCTCGGGAAAAGGTGAGAGCAAATGGGCCTCAGGGTTGCTAACTAGTGTTTGGTGCGTGTTGAGAAGTGAGAAACATTGAGTCCTGTGTGCGAGGTGAGACTGAACTGAACCAAGCTCCAAGCTCACTAGAAACGTGGAATAGCAGACCTGAATGTGGGTGAGGGAGTCATTTGGAATGAAAACCAGTGGGGTGGTCCTACCCACGGAATTCTCAGAATCTGAAGGGCTAGCATCTGGCCCTGGGAGTGACGAACATACCCTCAGGTGATAGCTGTCGCCCAGAGGTCAGCCTAGTGTGTGCCAGGAGGCCCACCGAACACATGTCGAGGTAAAAGGCAGAGTCAGGGTAGTCTGCTCAGCTAGCAGAGTAGGACTTTGAGTCAGTAGGCGTGGTCTGGGATCAGGCTCTGTAATAGCAGGCAAGATCTCCCCATAATGGGCGTACAGGACACTGTTCTCCATGTTCCCGGTAGAGCACACGTGAAGAAAGTGCTGGGGACTGTGGATTGAGAGACAGACCGGTCCTTGATGGTGGGAATGGTAGGAAGTCACGATCCCTAGTACTTTCCTTCCTCGGCTAGACTTGGAGAGACAGCATAGCATGGTGTTCAAACGCAGGGACTCTGGAGTCAGACTGTCCCTTTTTTTTTTTTTTTTTAAGATTTTATTTATTTATCTGGAGAGAGAGCGCATGAGAGGAGGGGCAGAGGGAGAGAGAGAAGCAGACTCCCCATGAGCAGGGAGCCCAATGCTCCATCCCAGGACCCTGCGATCATGACTCAAGCCAAAGGCAGACGCTTCACCGACTGAGCCACCCAGTGGCCCTATGGAGTCAGACAGTCTTGATTCAAATTCTGGCTTTGCTACTTCTTAGCTGTATGACCATAGGCAAGTTAATGAACCTCTCTTACCTCAGTTTCCATACCTGTAAAATGAGAATAGTTACAATAGCCGTCTTATGGGGCTGTTATAATGACTCAGCGTGCCAGTGTTTATCAAGTGTGTAGAGATGTGACTGGCACATAGAAGGTATTACACCTGTGATGATTAACAAGGCCGGGGGCGGCAGGGGTGGGGGGGTGGGGGCGTGCTGCAGTCCGGGATCTCTTCGCGTTCTCCTGCTGAGTCCTATGAGGAAAAGGAAGGACTTGCTAACCCACTTCACTGTTGTTATTACAGGTCAGAGGAGCTCAGTGTTGAAAGAAGCAGAAGAGCCTCCGAGAGTTTGTAATCCATACCTGGCTAGGATGTGAGGCAGAGAGAGGCTGAGAAACCCTCCCTGGTCACAGCTCCTGTGGGTTAGCATCGATCCTGTGGAGGTGTGAGTTTGTGGGAGAGATGCCCTTACGGAGCGTGTGGTATCTGGTTCACCCAGAGCGGACCTCCGTGCCTCCTTGGTTTACCCACAGTCCAGCTAGTCTGATTGCTTACAGGTGATGTACCAGAGGACCTTGATTCATCGAAAATCGCTGAGTTTCTGGAAAGCAAACAGAGGGTTGGGGCAGAGACCAGGGACTAGTAAAGGGCTGAGAACTATAGAGAGTGTGGGAGCTAACAACCTGTGATCTAACTGTCCCCACCCCCAACCTCAGCAAATCACCAAAAACTAAATCTAGAAATCCCGTGTTCTGAGTGGCTATTTTGAGAACTGGCTGGAGAGGGTGGAGGGAGGAAGGGCAGGAGGTAGAAGACTCAGCCTAGTGCTTTTCAGCAGAAGGTGCGAGGGAGATTTCAAGGGGCCATTGGGAGCAATAGGGGTCTTCTCCTCCTTATAGCACCCTTTTCTGGTCTCCCCAGCGCCCTCTCATACATTTAAGCCAAATGGAGCTGGGAAGCCCTGGAGGACCAGACAGCAGCTGAGCCGTGGCTCCATTCCAGGGTCGGTAATCTCAGGGGAGACTCAGGAAGGGGGACAGCCTCCTGGGTGGAGGGAAGCGTGGCCCGGGTGGTTCTGTCCTGACCCGTATTTGGGCTTGGAGGATGCTCAAGATTAGCTGATCCGAGAAGCAAAGTAGAGGAAGAGACAGCCATCGGAGGGGAGATATTTAGAATTGGGTCCAGATTTTCCTCCAAAGGGGAGGGGTTGGGGTGAGAGAAAAGAGTCGGTGGATTAAGGGAACCGACTCAGAGTCAGACAGAGGGATAACAAAGCAAGGATCAGAGTCAGGGATTTGCTGGCAATCTAGAAAGTAGGATTTAAAGTCAGAGATCATGGGACTATAGAATTTGCCTCTTGACCCCTGACCCTCTTGTCTGGACTATCGACTGTTAGCCTATTACCCATCCATGGGCTGCTTTTGCAATATGGGCGAACCTCTTGTGATGACGGGGTACCAGAGTGGAGCGTGTCAAGTAGGTGACTGCTGGGCCATTACATCAATCGTGTGCAAATAAATAAATAAATCATGACTATGACCACAGGAAGATCATGGAGGAAGAAAGCAATGACCTGCCAGTCTCCCAAGAATCTCAGGAACAACCTTTCTTTTCATGCATCCTTTCTTTTGGTCAAAGGGGGACTAGCAGGAATTCCATAGAGTTTCAGGAACACTTTTGTGAATGGTCTTCCAGATTTTTAAATAGATAGATAGATAGATAGATAGATAGATAAGCAGTCTATATCTTTTACAAAATTGGACCATATCAATCTACAGCCTACTTTTAAAAAAATAATAACTTTTGTTTTACTTTAAATTAATATTTTCTCTTTTCCCCCCCTAACTTTTTATTAGAAAAATGTATCGGAGTTGAAAGACTAATAGTTCAGTGCGCATCCATATGTTTTTCACCTAGATTCAGTCATTGTTAGCACGTTACCATATTTGGGCGAGCATGTGACAATATTCCATGTTGTGGGAATAGTAGAGCCTGGTGGTTGAATGTGGAGTCCGCTGCTCTGGGTCCCAAAGCCAGTTCTGCTGGTTTCTAGCAGTGTGGCTTGACCTTGGACAAGGTCTTTAGCATCTCAAAGCCTGTTTCCTCAACTATAAAATAGGGATGACACCTCGGAAATTTCAGAGGATTAAATGGGGTAATGTTGAGCGTGTAATACATTCTCAGTAGATATTGTTTGGGTACTTGTCTTACCTCTTCACTCAGCCTGGAAGTTAGGGACAATCTCTTAACTGGTTTCACTTTAAATCCGTGTCCATTACCCTCATGTGGCCCTAAGTACTGCCTGGTGATCCTACCTACCACAACTCACCGTTCACTCTCTTACTTTCTTTTTTTTTTTTTTTTAAAGATTTTATTTATTTATTTGACAGAGAGATAGAGAGCACAAGTAGGCAGAGTTGCAGGCAGAGGGAGAGGGAGAAGCAGGCTCTCTGCCAAGCAGGGAGCCGGACATGGGGCTCGATCCCAGGACCCTGGGATCATGACCTGAGCCAAAGGCAGCCGCTTAACCGACTGAGCCACCCAGGCGCCCCTAAAGTGATTCCTTAGAAACAGATCAAACCATGTTTCCCTCTGCCCCAAACTTTGTAATGCTTTTCCATCAACTCAGAAAAAAGTCCAAGCCTTTGCTCTGCTCCAGAGATATTCATATTCTGGCCACCCACCCAACTTCATTTCTTCTGCTCTCTCCCTTATTCACTCAGCTCCAGCCATGCTGGTTTCCTTACTCTTCCTTGAACATAACCAGGCACAAAACCTGCCTCAGGGACTTTCCACCTCACGTTTCATCTGCCTAGAAGGCTCTTCTACACACTGACAGGGCTTCCTTTTATATGTCATTGAAACCTCTGCTCAAATGTCACTCATCAGAGAGGCCTTCCTAGATGGCGCTGTTTTATTTTCCTTCTTGGAACGTGTCACTAGCTGGCATAGTTGTTTAATGAGTTCAGGAACTTTATTATGCTCACTGCTGTGTCCCCAGTGTCTAGAATAACACTTGGCATGTGTGAGGCACTGACATATTGGTTGAATAAATGAATCTCGTGTTTCTTCTATACTCTATAAGTGCATAGAACAAAACACAACTAAGTGGCTGATAAATATTTATCAAAATCGGGTCTAAATGGCATAATCTACATAAGATAAGCTGGATTCTATCAGCTTATTAAAGCAGAGCCCTGGTATCTGACAGTCATTCAACCAAGGTCTGCATCAGTAAAATGGGGGAGAATGCTGTATACTCCACTGAACTATTCCAAGGATTCGATGGCAAAACCTTCGTGAGAAGCCTGTATCTTGGCAAATAGCAAGTACTCAAATTGTGAAATGAGTAAACAGACTCCAAGGGTACCTAGAAGCCCACAGGCGTGACTCTGTCTCAAGATCAAGTGTGCCTTGAGATAGGAATGTCCAGATGGAGCAACTCTATTGATACAATTCCAAGGAAGGGGAATTCCTATTATTTTGAATTTAACTCTCCATCTGGACAGAGAAGCTAGAAAAAAGCACACATATCAGTTGACTAATCCAATTTCAAATTCATGGCCATGGCCTTAGGAGGGGCCCCAGTGCTTCCCAGCAATGGGAATATTACCGTCCCCTAGTTCATTCACTTTCCTACTCTGCTTAGAGACTATTTCATACTTTCTTTCCCCCTTCTTTCCTTCAAGACCTCTTCCCTCCTCCTCTTGGATGATGACCTTGCTACCTATTTTACTTCAAAAACAGAAGCAATGAGAAGAGACCTTGCAAACGTCCCCACCTGCCTGCCTCTGGGCCTATAGGATCTGCCTTCCCTCCTGTGGGTGATCCGTGCTTAGCTCCTGTTCAGGGCCACCCGCTACTTGGGCACTAGGTCTTACCCCCTTTCTCCTCCAGCAAGGATCCTCTTTCTTTTCTTTTCTTTTTTTTAAGATTTTATTTATTTATTTGACAGAGAGAGATAGTGAGAGACAGTGAGAGCAGGAACACAAGCAGGGGGGGTGGGAGAGGGAGAAGCAGGCTTCCCGCCGAGCAGGGAGCCGGATGCGGGGCTCGATCCCAGGACCCTGGGACCATGACCTGAGCCGAAGGCAGACGCTTAACGACTGAGCCACCCGGGCGCCCCAAGGACCTTCTTTCTGTCCCTACAGTTTGCCCTTCTCTACTGAATCATTTTCTTTCTTTCTTTCTTTTTTAGATTTTATTTATTTGAGAGAGAGAGAAGGAGCATGAGCAGGGGGCGGGGCAGAGGCAGAGGGAGAAGCCGACTCCCTGCTGAGCAGAGAGCCTGGACTCCAGGCTCGATCCCAGGACCCTGGGATCATGACCTGAGCTGAAGGCAGATGCTTAGCCCACTGAGCCACCCAGGCGCCCCTCTACTGATCATTTTCATAAAACACAATCATTCTATAATTTCTGCGATCTTAAGTCAAATCTTCTCATGCCCTGTATCCCCCTCAAACCACATCCCCACCCCCATTTTTGGGGAACTCCTTCTCTCTTTGCTGCTTCAATCTCTCTCCTCCATTTCCCTCATGAACCTACTCTAACCAGACTTTTGCTCCCTTCCTCCACTGTGACTTCTCTTGTCAAAGCCACCAGTGATTTCCACACAACAAAACCCGGCGGTCAATCCCCAGTCTTCATCTTACTTGGCCTACCTGCAGAGTTGGACACAACTAATCACTCTCTCCTGCTTGAAATAGTTTCTTCACATGCTTTCTAAACTCCTATACTCTCTTGGCTTTTCTCCTACCTGACTTCTCAGTTTTCCTTACTGAATTTTCCTCATGTCTACAACCTCTAATCACTGGAATGCCCCAGGATTTGACCCTTTTCTCTCTATCTGATGGTGATCTCACAGTCTAATGGCTTTAAATGTCATCCATGTGTTAATAAAGGCCTAATTTATATCTCTGGGCCAGATCCGGCTCCTTAACTCCTCTTGGGTATCCAGCAGCTTATAAAAGCATCTCCTCTTGAGTAATTAATAGGCCTCTCTTTTTTCCTAAAACCTGCTGCTCCTGCTGTCTTCTCCATTGCGGGAAATGACAATTCTGTTTTTTTCAGTTCCTCAGGCCAAACACTTTGGAGTCATCCTTGACCCCTTTCTCAAAATGCCACTTATCCCATCACCCAGTCCCTTTGGTCATAGCTTGAAAATATACCCAGGATCGAACCACGCCTCACCCCCTCCACTGCCATGGTGCTGACCCCAGCAATCATCACCTCCTGCCTAGTTGTCTGCAGTAACCTCCTAGCAGGTTTTCCTGCTTCCTCCCTCGTGCCCCCTTTGTGCAAATTGATGGTCTCCGGTGCCTTCTCATCTCACTTGTAAAAGTCGAACTCCTTAAGAGGACTCCCAGGGCCCTACGGCATCTGCCCACCCTAGTTATCTCTGATCTGGTCTCCAGCCCCCTTCCTCCTGCTTCCTTCCTCTCTCCACTCCAGCTGCATTGGTCTCTTGCTATTCCTCAAGTAAGTTCATCTCACTTCTGCCCACGGTCATTGGAAGCTTCTGCCCGGACTCGGGTAACCCTTCCTCCCTTATCTCTTTTAGCTTTTGGCTCAAATGCCACTTTCAGACAGAATTTTCCTGACCACTCTGTATAAAACTGTATTTCTCCATTCCCACAAGCACTCACCAGCCGCTTCCCTGTCTTTTCTCTGTAACACTTAACCACCACCTAACCTAATATTTTATTAGTCTCTCTGTGTGCTAGAATGTAAACTCCATGAGGGCAGGGGTTTTGTCTGTTTTGTCCTCTGCAGTGTCCCTAGCACCAACAAATGCTTGTTCAATGAATCTTGATGACTTTTCTCCCTTTCTCTGATCTTCAGACCCACTTCTTCAAAAGATTGAGGAGTGCACCTAGTGATAGGGGGACTTGAAAGTGTTGATGGTGAGTCTAAAGGGATGGCACCTTAATACGTCTATGAATATCTAATGCTCTGATTTCTCTTTTCCAGCTTAATACCAAAACATCCCCAGCAACCAACCAGGCACCTGGCCCAGAGGAAAAGGGTGAGTGGGGTTGGCCCAGGCTGTTTGTAGAGTGGGTGATTACAGGGATGTGAGGACAGGTAGGGCTATAAGTCTGGAAGCTCCTAGAGTGGGATGTAATTGGAATAGGAATGTGGACAAGTGAAACAAAGCACTAGGTTGGAAACACTATACCTGTAGGCTTTCTTCCACTTTTTCCTAAGAAGTAAACCTACCAGTATTTACTCCTCGATCGTGGAAGCTGGCTCTGGAGTGCTTGGAAACGGGCACTGTGATAGGAAGAGGCTCATGAGATAATCCAGCCACTGTCTCAATCAGAAAGTGAGGGAAAGCTGGGGAAGGTCAGTATGCTCTGGGACTCTGAGTTGTAAGACTGAGGAATAAGTGATGATAGAAGACATTTGTCGTCTTGGTCTAAGAGTAGCCAAGCTCCTAAGTAACTAGAGCTAGTTCTCAGCCTCAGTACCCCAACTCAAGCTTCCAGGAGAGTGATCAGGCGTTCTTGGTCCTAGCAAAGACTGGAGAACCTCCCAGAGCCCAGCAGGAAGTGGACCCTAGCCACTGTATTTGGGGCCTGGAGAAAGGTGCAGGGGCAGCGCCGGTTTACTCATCGGTGAATCCCTCAACTCTCTGCAGGGAAAGCTGGTGGTGCCAAGAAGACTGAGGAGGAGGAGGAGATCGACATTGATCTGACAGCGCCGGAAACAGAGAAGGCTGCCCTTGCTATTCAGGGCAAGTTCCGGAGATTCCAGAAAAGGAAAAAGGATCCTAGCTCCTGAATAACCAGCCTTGTCCCGCGCTCTCTCCCTTTTCTCCCCTTCGCTGCAGTTCTGACTCCTACGTGTCTTTGTCTCTTTGTCCCTCCAGCCTCTTGCTGAGGCAAGTTCCATCCTTATATATTATTTTCTCTGGTCCCCCCCAAGCCATTGCAACAGTGGAAGCACAAGGAACGTGGGGGAAGACGAAGAATTCAATTGGCAGCCACTTGTCTAAGGGTGGACCAGTTTGTCCTTGGGACAAGCCTCCTTGACCAGCACCTATGCCTGGCCTGTGAGGTTGAAGAGCAAGAGGCTTTGAGGTTGAGAGAGGGACCCCCGGCAGTCGGGGTGGGGGAAGCAGTCAGAGTAGGGTGCCCGAGGGGGGCCTAGGCACTGTTCCACCAGTTACAACAGTCACACTTCAGGTAACATGTTTCTGCTCTTCACATCCTTCTGCACCAACACATCCTCCTTCCCTCCTATGAGCTAGGCGACCGTGGGGACCGGAGCCTCCCTCTCCTCGAGGCCAACCCAGATCAAGCCCCTTCCACATTAGTGCATGCTGAGTAGATGAGTTCCAAGGCAGGGAGCCTGGGACGGGTGGAGGCCAGAGAAAGCTGCTTTCACCGTCCAGTCTAGGACCGTCAGGGGCAGAGGCAGAAGAGGTTTCAAAGGGCCGCGGGCAGGGAGATGGGCCTAGAGTAGATTTGGGGGGGAAAGAGAGGTAAGGGTGGGGAGCTTTCTGGAGACACAGCTACTGCCGGTAGACGTGTACTGCGTGTACTAGACAAAGGATTTCTGCTACCCTGCCTACCTCTACCCTCCCCAATCCAGCCATCCCTAGAGGCCGCGCCAACCAAGGGACCCCTGTAGTTTCCACCTGCCCCACTGTGGAGTCAGAGCAGAAGTTGAGTAGCCACTCTATGTGATTTGAGCATGTTTAATCATGATTAAAAAAGAAAAAAACCCCAGGGGGGTCATCTAACCTCTACTTCTGTGTTTTTCTTGGGAGGAATGTGAATGTAAGCCCTAGCTGGCCGCAGGGAGGGTGGGAGACTGATCGCATGGACCACACCACGGCACAGGAACCGAACTTGTAGACTGAAGCCCACCCCTGCCTCCCCCCCCCCCCGCCCCCCGCCCTTGCCCTCACCTTGATTCACCGCCCACACGGTCTCTGAGGCTGTCACCGCCCCCCGTGCACACCCGTGAGGCTGCTTGCCGCCTCCCCGCTCGCCTTCCGGCTCAGAGCACGCTTGGGATCTATGCCTTGGAAAACAAACCCAACCTTCCTTGCTCCCTATACCCAAATGATCTGTCCGCCCTGTCCCTCCTGCTCTGTCTTCCTCCCACATTCCCTCTCCCTCCCGCTGTTTCTCTAACTTAGGGGAAGGAGAAGATGACTCTGGGTCCGGAGAAAGCACCACTGAGCACCACTGATGTGCTGAAGATTTTAAACCATGAATTAAATAAAATGATGGCATTCAAAGGTGCTTGCACTGCTGAGAAATGGTCTCTATACAGTGAAACCGGAAGCTGAACACTGGAAGATCAAGCAAGAAAAGCTCATTCTCACACACTCTCTTCACTTCTTAACATTCACCTTCCTTTCCCGATTCAAGAATACAGGAGCTGAGGGGCGCCTGGGTGGCTCGGTCGGTTGAGCATCCGACTCTTGGTTTCAGCTCAGGTCGTGATCTCGGGGTTGTGGGATCGAGCCCTGCGTGGAGCTCTGTGCTCAGCGGGGATCCTGCTTGAGATTCTCCCTCTCCCTCTGCCTCTCCCCTTGCTCAAAAATAAATAAATAAATAAGTAAGTAAATAAGTAAATAAATAAGTAAATAAAATCTTAAATTAACAAAAAAAAAAAAACGCAGAAGCTGAAACCATGTAGCAGCTGGGAGTAGGAAGCAAGGGACAATATCCCTGGAAGACAACCTATATCCCAAAGTTGATCCTTGCCGAGCAAGCCCGGGGCTACAGGATATTCCATGGACATGAGATGGGTGTTGGCCTGGCCTCAGCTTGGTCTGCCCCTGTGGACGCTGAGGTAAGACAGGTGCCCCCTGTTCCCGGTGATCTGGGCTTCTGAGAGCGGGGGTTGCTAAGCCAATGGCGGGCTTCGCCACCAGCCCTCTCCTATTGACTCTGCTGCTTGGACGGTTATCTGCCTGTTGGTTTTTTTGCCACACTGATCTAGAGCATGGTGCTGAAATGTTTTTCCCCTTCACCATTTCTTGCTCTAGAAGCGTTACACTTGCCCTCAGACGTCTTTTAAAAGAAAGGGCATTGTAGCAAAAATACCGTCTGTAGCTTTGGGAAAGATGGTTCTAACCAGAAATGTTTGGGCATCTTTCGTGGAGCCACTGGTAGTTCTCAGTAAAGGTTCTCAAAGCTAGTTTCTCTCTGCGAGTCCTCCCTACTCCTACTGCGCGGCGCTCGAATTGACCCTCTTCTCCTGTAGCTCTTCCTTGGGACCCTAGGCTTGGGCTGGGATCTCTTGCTTAGGGCCCCAGAGCCCTATTTCTCCTCCCTGTCCCTCTGGCTCCTGCCGCTGGAGACACAATCCTGGAGTATTGGTCAGTAAGGAATTGTTCTTGGGTACTTTTGTTTTGTGGAGCAAAGACTGCAAGTCTTTGGGGACTGGTGAGCGCTCTCCTAATACGTGGCTTAACAGAAGAGACAGGCAGAAACAGTCAAGGGGAAAAAAGCAAATTCAGTTGTCACATGTCTATCACTGACACGCCTTTCGGTGCTTTTCCGTCTGTGTAGGGAGGGGTGTCGAGCTGGGAGGATAGCCCTGATGAAAGTGGAAGAGGTCCGGAGACCTGAGCAGGGGGAATACTTCAGAATATGTTCCCAGAGGCCAGACTTGAGGGCGAAGGTTTTGGGAGAAATTCAGGCAGCTAAAGGGGACAAGGATTCTGCTTCCCAGGACAACCTACTTTCAGGGACTTGAAGTCCTTGCTGGGAAGGACTCTTGACCTCTCCTTGATCTGGCCCCAGTATAGAGGGCAGCTTTCCCATGTCCATCTCTTTCTCTTGCCCTTGACTCTGCCCTAATGTCCTTCTGGGGAGCTGCCCTTCCGGCCCACTTCTACCTCTCTCTGCCCCTCCTCCCCTTGCTGTGTTTCCTTTATTTCTGGGGTTGTTTGTGGGGGTGAGGGGTGTGTGGCTATTCTTGGGAGCGACTTCGTTCCTGCTGTACTTGGTCCCTGAGACTCAGCCCTTACGGGAGTCACTCTCCAGTGAGCTGTTCCTTCCTGTTCTTCACCATCTTCTCTCCAAATGCAGCACCTCTGCTGCCTGTGCCTCTGAAGACTGAGGGTTTGGAGGTCAGGAGGTTTGTTTCTTTTCTGGTCGTTCGGGTAGCAGCTCAGACTTGAGATCTACAAAGGCAGAGACTCACAGTCCATAGATGGTCAGAAAGTAAGCCCTTTCTCAAGGCTGCAGGAAACGCTTCCTTATTCCCTCCCTGACCACGTCCCTCCTCCATCCAGCCTGGGCATCCACAGCCCTCCCTCTCCATCCAGCATTCTATTTTTCCCTTAGTGTGATGATGATGATGGTGGTGATGATGATGAGGATAGTAATTGGCCTTTTTTACCTAGTCACCTAGATCTTATCAGCCTAGATCTTACCTAGTCACCTAGGTCTTACCAGCCTAGATCTTACCTAGTCACCTAGATCTTACCTAGTCACCTAGATCTTACCAGCCTAGTCTTACCTAGTCACCTAGATCTTACCTAGTCACCTAGATCTTACCAGCCTAGATCTTACCAGTCACCTAGGTCTTACCAGCCTAGTCTTACCTAGTCACCTAGATCTTACCAGCCTAGATCTTACCTAGTCACCTAGATCTTACCAGCCTAGATCTTACCTAGTTACCTAGGTCTTACCAGCCTAGATCTTACCTAGTCACCTAGATCTTACCAGCCTAGATCTTACCAGTCACCTAGGTCTTACCAGCCTCGATCTTACCTAGTCACCTAGATCTTACCAGCCTAGATCTTACCTAGTCACCTAGGTCTTACCAGCCTAGATCTTACCTAGTCACCTAGATCTTACCAGCCTA